GTTCTTTAGAAGATTATAAATCCATTGTGGGTAGTAAACTTGTTCAGTATTTTCTGCTGTGACATGTGTGGTTTTCCTCCCTCCAACCATTTCAAGGAGCAACATTCCATAAATGTAAACATATGATTTATAGGATACATTGCCAAATATTAATTGGTCGTCATGGAGCGGAGCTACTCTATCATCACCAAATACGGAACCACAAACCACATCGGTGTTGACTTCGACGTCGAAAACTGAGAAGTATATCAGAACATAGGTGATCATAAATGTAAAAATAGCTACATAGATCAGCAATATCCTTGCACGTGACATGGAGAAAATCTTGGATTGGAAGTGAGTCTAAGGTTACGAGGTACTACGATCTAGTTAAGCTAATGACACAAAGCGTCCAACGTGAAACTGAAGAAGCGTTGAGGCTAGGAAGTTCTGTCGTTCCTTACAAGTAAAAGGAATTACGTACGGTGCATGACATGAATATCGATGACAAAATATGAAATTTCAGACGAAGCGCACAATATTCAGAAAATGCATAAATAGTAAGGCTTATTTTCAACTTTCATATATACATCATATGGTCGACAAGTTTATGTGTATGGATGGAGATTTGATATCCACAAATTGCGTTTGTCTTATCTCTGGTCTTCATGGCCTTCGCCTTCTACTTTGAGTGACTGCATCTTCACCACCAATGGAAAGAAAATTGGCAGAAGATTGAAGGTTCAACAAAATTATTGGGACGCAGAAATTAAAAAAAAAAAGTATTTGATAATTATTGCATCAGAGTCTGAAAAGTTGCAAAGTACAGATGGATAATATAATATTACAAATATTTGAGTTTGAGAATCCGAATGAAAAGTTTGTATATATATATATATATGCGCTAAAATACCCGATTGAATAATTTAGAGTTTTTTATTATAATAAAAAATAAATTATGAAATAATATTTTTTGAATTGTGAAATTATATGTTTAATTCCCTGCAAAAAATACAAAACAAAAGTTAAAATAGAAATTATAAATTTCCAATAGAACAAAAAATGTGAAAAATCCTTTGCCCGTCAAACATGGTAAATGTTAATAATCTGCTTGTCAGGTTCCATGAATGACATTCCCTGCAGTGGGGAAACCTTTGAATATCCTTATTAAATTTTAATATCATATGATAATATATGTATAATCATATCATATTTAATGGTGAAACCACATTAATTTATCATTCATTTATTTAGAATCATATCATTTTTATTACTCCATACTGTTCAGTTCCTTTTAGTAAGATAATATATACTCTTTTTAGTTCAATTTATAAGCCACTTTCAACATATTTCACTGAAACAAAAGAAAACCTTAAATCTTATTAAATTTATTTTCAAATTTAACAAATTTTCAACTTTATCTTTAATATATATCCTTAATTAAATCTTATTAGTGGTATCTTTATTTAAAGCATTTAATAAAAATAAAAATATAAAGAGGAGTATTAAAAATTGACAAGTACTCTATAAATAGAATTTAATTTTTTATTCTTTTTCTGTCCTATAAATAGGACCAAAGGAGTATACTCATCTCTTACAAAGTTTTAGTATTCCTATTCATAGATGTTTTCAAGGAAAAAAAATCTATGCAATAAACTATGTAATCAAGGATATTTATGAAAAGATGAGATAATTTTAAAGGTAACATCAACTATTTTTGAAAAAATATATGAATCTGTCTTATAAAAAAGAATAGAGGGTGGATTATTAATAGCGTTAGTTCCTTCCTTTTACCGTCGATCATTGTCCCTTGAAGAAGATATCTTTATTGAATGACTAGACTTGTGGGTCAAGTCTTTGTCAATGCATAGCAAAGAGATTTCATCTGACCACCACGAATTTGTTCAAACTCTTATCTATATTTGAGCCAGTAACGAATCCAAAAACAAATATGTGGGGGAAAATTGAAAACTATTTAAAATAAGGAGAGAAAGCAGTAATTTTTATATTTTTTACAAGCAAAATTAAAAAAATTTCCAAAGGGGCAGTGAGATTGTGGAGCGGGGAAGCACCCCCTTGCCCTTCCTTACATTCGTCCCTGATTTGAGCCATCATGGCTTTTATTCTTTGGATGTCGAAAATTAGAATATTAGCAAAACAATCACTACCATTTGAGAGCCCAGTGATGCCGAGTTTGAACAAGAACAAGCTTAAACAGAGGCTTGAAGAAATGATCCAGAGTCCATTTGAGAGCGTAGGAGCTGTGCTCGCTCTCGTCGATCGCCACAACCATCACTTGCTTTTCCGATGTCTCCGCCATGGAAGAAGCTCCGATTTAGCTCACCGTCGCCGAGGATCGCGCCGATTAATTTCCGTACGCTTGCTTGAAATTAGACGCTGCTAAATTGACGCGATATTTATTCAGAGAAATTAGATGCAGCTGAAACGATTGTGAACAATGGGAAGCTCCAGAGATATCTATAATAGTGCGGATGGACAGTGAGGAATTCCAGAGACATCGCACAGTGGTCTGTGTGACTGGAAAAATCTGATAGGTACAAATGATCCGCAAGGATAATCGGAGCCCCGAGTAGGAATCCCCGTGCACTATGACAGAGTGTAACAATAGTAAGATCTCGGATGGAACCCGGCCTGACCTCCGGGTTGACTCCGCCGCCGTAATGGGTGATGGGCGAGTGCGATGTTGACCAAGTCTTGCATTTAAGGATTGAGAAAATATTCCGATAATAATTCATGAAAAAACTTCTGGTTAAAGCATTGCGAGTAGATAGAAACTCTACATAGAGATAGTATCATGAAAATAAGCCTCTGAATCATGTTAAGGCAGCTTAAATATAAAAGAAGTTGAGTCAGTTGGCTTATGTGGTCATCGAATGTCTCCACCCAATACGACACCGTAATAGTATATACCCTCATGGCTCACACTCTCACTCCAAAGTAGTTCATTGATTTGATTTCCTCCTCCAAAATCAACTCGGCCACACCTAATCAAAATAATCATCACACACACACACACTTTGGTTCTTATATATACTTCTCAATATTTTTCAAGCAGACGAAGAAAAAAATTATTAGATTATTTTATTTCTAAAGAATGGTTTAATATTTCAATTATTCATTATTTATTAATTAAAGGGAATCCCATACCTTGTTCAGGTTACAAAAAACTATTAAAATTATAGCTAGGGATAAAATAATGGAGAATCATTTGATATTTTGACTGGGTATCTTATAATTTAGATCAATTTTTATTTTTGGAAGGCACCTTATAATATAAGGGACTGGAGAGAGCATAAGTATATTATATAAACTTAGTATGATAAATGTTTTTTTACCAGTCAGTATGATAAATGTTAAAACTTTAAAATTAATAATCTATTTTTAAAAAAAAAAAATTGGCCCCCTAACTACTAAGGATGGTTCTGCCTCAGCCTCTGATATTATATTTCCTTATTCTATCATTGATAAATCGAACAATTTAGAAAGTAGGGTGACGAAGAAAATGATGAAGAGAAACTTGTAATTTATTCTGCTAAAGCCACTGACAAATTAAAAATTTAAAATATAAAAACAAGTCTGATGAATTTCTTTTAAATTCTCTAGGGTTGAGATTCATGAATTTTCTGTAAACATTTTTTATTTTATTATTTTTATAAAATATAAAATCTTATCTCTTTTTGTTAAAAAGATAAACTTCATGAAATTTTTAGTTTTTTAAGTTCAAAGAATCTATTCCAGTCTAATTCTAAAAGATGTTTTTTTATTTAAAATTAGTAATATCAATAAAATTAATTAAATCTAATTTATATTCTTAATCTTTTTCTAAAAGAAATATAACCTTTTTTTTGGCCGAAAAAAGAAATATAACTTTTGAAACTATCTTTTATTGGGTAAAGTATATTATTAGTACTTTTTTGGTGAAAAAAAAGAAAGAGAACAGGAAACGACGAGCGAGAGGGAAGGGGTGAGAGCATGGTGGTGCGGTGCCGTCGACGGAGGAAGCGGACTCATTGGAACGCAGTCGTAAAAAGGTACGTACACGAGATGGAAAGCTTACCGATAGCTATGCTCTTTTCCCACGGGAGGAGGAGTGGAAGAAGGACAAGTCTTCTGCGTGTCAATCTTTACACCAAAAAAAGTCGTATAGGCAGCCTTCTTTAACAGAGGTGACTCGGAGAGTGATGAGGGTGAGGAGGAGAAGGATTGGTGGAGTGGGGAAAGATGAAAGAGCCGTATTAAGATTGAAACAAAGGAACAGGGGCCGAATATTATCGTACTAGCAGAGTTCACATAGAGACTGGCGAAGAAATGGTAGAAAATCCTCATCGTGCGGCTCTTAGATCACATGGTCAGGGAAGACTGCTTGGGAACCAAACTCCAAAAGATGTGTGGCAGTCGTGGAAAGGTGGAGACACTGGAGTTTGGGTCTGGATATTTTATTTTTGCAGTTTCAGAATAGGGAAGATTTCGAGTTTGCCTTGACTGCGGGGCCATGGTTGATCATACAGAGTGGTAAAGGAGCTTGAAGAGAGAGATTGCACGTATAGGTCCTTCGGATTACGAGTTCTATATGCTGCCTTTTGGAGGGACACGTGGATTCCCCAAGTTGGTAAACTAACAAATGTTGTAATTGCTGAGCTTCCATGTGAGGTGGTGGACTAAAAGGTAGCGGATTGTGTTACACAAGACGGGAGTTGGGATTGGCTTAAGTTTGGTTGTTTCTTACCACCAGGAATTCATCGAGATGTCATCGCTTGCATTACTGTTAAGACCCATGGTGTTCGCACGGACACTCCGATATGGCGATGGTCCTCTAATGGTCGGTTCTCACTTAAATGAGCTCATTTACACCAGTGTGGAGGGGAGGTTTCTGGGAATGGGAGCTTCTGGCTGGCGTCATCTCTGGAAAACTGAAGGTACCTCAGCGATGTAGAGTTCATCTATGGCTCTATGCAAATGATAAATATTAACTAACGTAGCACTAATGAAACGTGGTATGCATGAGTCTGGCGAATTCGGAGTGTGTCGTGAAGGGCAAGAAGCCCATCTGCATGTGCTACGTGACTGTTTGCAAGGTCAACAGGTATGGCTTAATTTGGTCCCACTTGAATAATGGCGAAGGAGATTTTTTACTACAGACAATGTGTGGCATGGTAAGGTGGAACATGGGGTGTTCTAAGTCTGTAGCTGAGTACGAATGGAGTATCTAATTTACTGTACTTTGCAGAAACATTTGGTTGGCAAGAAATGAGAGGATCTTTAAAAGGGTAGCCAGATAAAGAGTGACGAGCATGTTTAAGCTGGAGTATACCGAATCTGATTGAGCCAAATATCAGAAAGTCGAGGAAGCTGAGATAGCTGCCACCGAATGGGAAGACAGTGAAGTTTAACGTCGATGGATCTTTTTGTACAAGGTCTGGTATAGGTACACGTGGGGGTCTTGCTCGAAATCATCAGTGGAAATTCCTACGTGGATCTGCGTTTACTGCTGAAGCTTTGGGGATTCTCTGGGCTTTGAAACTGGCTTGGGAATGGGGTATGAGGAACATCATGGTGGAAAGTGACTGCCAGGAGGTGGTGGATGCTATCCAAGATCAGGATCTGGTGGTCGTGAATTGGGACGTTGCTGTCCTAAATGAGATTAGAAGTGATACGAGTATTCAATACAATACAGCATCATACAATGATACATATGCAGAAATATCTTATAAGTATCGTATGCTGAAGTATAAAATATGGATACATTTACTTTTTTGAAGCACCAGTGCTTCATAAGATTAGATGCTCGTTCGAACGTGATTGGGATGCTGCAGCGATCTTGTGCGACCGTGAAACCAACATGGCAGCGGATGCTCTGGCCAATGAAGCACGTACCTTTTCGTCGGAGTTGGTGATTCTGAATTCGCCGCCGAACTTGCTTGTGGGTAGTGGAAGACCATTCTGACCTGCTGCTTGAGTTTGTCTCTAGTAGTAGTTAGTAGTTTGTTTTTCTTTTCTCTTGTTAATAAAATAAAAGTATTTTTTTTGGTGAAATATAATCTAAATATTTATTAATTATTAATTAATTTATTTTTTATTTATTTTATAATCTAAATAATCTACTATTTGATGTTCTAATTGAATGAACAAAACAATCAAAATCCAAAACAAAAAAAAATCATTGGAGGGAAGAAAAAATTAGTCAGAGTCCTTTTAGAAAAGATAAGAAAAATATTTTTTAGATGTTTCTGTTTCCTTTTTCTTTTAACAATCCCCCTGATATTTTTTTTTATTTTTAGACAATATTGTATACTTATTTTATTTAGACCTTATTTTCATTTTTCTTATTTTATTTTGGATAAATTTTTTTATAATTTTTTTATATTTTTGTTTCGTTCCCTTCAGGAGATTAATTTGTTAGTGATTTGTAAATTAAAATAATATGTAAATTATAAGTCTTCCTTCAAAATTACATGAAGGAAGAAAAGATCAAAACTTTGTGTTCAATTAAGGCCCAATTCATAAAAAACCATGCCACGATCCATTTAAGGTTGGACCTTGAAGGAGTTTAGTGAAACGTTGCATTTTATTAGAATAGTGACTAAGTCATAAGGCAACACCCCCACTTACTGAGGAACTTGAAGCACTTACCCTACCACTCTCCCAATAAGGCAGACCCACGATGTTTAGATTAATGTAAATAGTTATTGTTTCTCCTGAAAAGTAAAATTCAAATTAAAAAGAGCACACTTGTTGCCTTTCCTATAAAAGAACAATGAGTGCATAATTGAGGCTCTTCTTCAACATTCAAGGCAAAACTTACCTTGTGCAAACTCAACTTGCCCAGCTTCAACTTCAATCTTACCTAGTGTGACCCTGATTGTTCAGTCTAGATGTCCTAGACTAGTTACTTTGCTTGTTCCTCCTATCATTGGAACAACCCATTGTAATTATTACATAGTAATGCAAACTTTGCGTTTCACACACTTACCCATACTTTAATCTCTAAAATTGCTTTGGCACTTCAATGAAATTGCAGTAAAGGATATAGAGAATTCGCAGTAGTTTGACACGCTGCTCTTTTGAGGACTTAATTTACTCTTCTGGCATGTTTAGAAATTTTAGAAGGGGCACAATGCTCCGTACCCAAAACCCAACAACGCCAATGCTTTCTAACTATGCTAAAAATATATTAATTAAAAATAAAGCAATGTTTATTGAATCCATATAGATTTATTTTATAGATACATAAGAAATAGCAGAAAAAACATGCCACAGGTATGAAGAGTAGGAAAAAGAAGGGATGGAACAAAACAAAGAGAGAGAATGATAAAACTTCAAAACATCTATAGAAGATTTGAACTCTAAAAACATATTTATTAAAAATGGAGCAATATTGTGCTAGTTAAATATCATTAATATTTTAACAATATTTTATTAAAATACATATTTATTAAAATTTATTTTAATAAGATTTCAAGATATCCAACGCTTCTAAAAAAAACTTTAAGCATAAATTAATAATTTAACACTATAATATTAAGTCATGTTGGATAGTAATGAAGCCCACACGAAATACATGTAGGCAGAAAATGGTGAAATAGACAACTTCTTAGTAGACTTTGGCTAAAAAAAAAGAAAAAGACAACTTCTTGGTGGAAGGAGTTTTTTGCTCCTCCAAATTAAAAAATGGTTTTAAGGAAAAATTGCTCTATTTATACATGATGCCCAGCATTTTATAAAAAAAATTTGGAGGAAAAATAGTCTAAATCCTAAATTTTAACTACTTTCTTAGTAATTATGAATTTCAAAATTAAATCTTATAATTAGAAATGAAGTATGCATTGAATGGAAAGATAACGAATTTAATTCATTTGAGTTAGACATTTTTCATTCATTTAGTTGGATCTCAGTGACATGACGCTCTTAAATTGTTTGATAATTTTTTATAATAATTCACCTCCATAAATATCAAAGTCAAATCAAAACCCACATATTAATTGCATTCTGGGGCCTGGGCACCTTGTAATTCACAGCTTGATTGTAAGAAAAGTTTTATAATAATTCACCTTGTAATTTTTTTCCCGTCCACTGAACGGTGAGAAGTTTTTCTCCCACAATAAATATATTTGAATTATAAGAAAAATTAGATCACCGAAAGTAAAATCCATACTTAATTCCAAAAAAAAAAAAGTATTCAAAGCCACATGAATTGTATTATAGCCACCGCGTAATCTTTTTCTAAACTTGATTTTCCCCGATCCCGTCCATTACACGGTGAGAAGTTTTTCTTCCTCAAGAAATACATTTGAATTATAAGAAAAATTAGATTATTGAGTAAATCTATAGCGAACCTGCACAAATAACAAATATTCATGACCTATGGTAAAATATTTAGCTTCCTACAACCTTTTAGCATATAATGATGTTATTAATATTATTTTTTTATTGTCAACCAGATGATATTAATATTAATGTTGACGATTAATTTATTTTGTCAGATTTTATATAAATGGCAGACATTCTCAATTTTCAAAGTATTTAATAGGAAGAATGACAGATAGGTCTTAGGGAACTAATTAATTCAAGTTAAATCTTAAATGTCAAACTCCATGAATTTGCAAGTTTGCCTCTCAATTTTACAATTTTATGGTGATGAATTTGCAACTTGTGTTTTAAATGTTAACAGGAAAAAAATTTGTTTATTCTTCTACCATATTAAAATTTAAAAAAAAATAAATTATAAATTTATCACAATAAAGTTGTAAAATTAAGAGCCAAACTTGTGAATTCTTAGAGTTTGGTACTTAAGATTTAATTTAAATTAATTGATCTCTTAGAACCTATATGTCATTTTGCTTATTTAATAACTTTTCATTGCCGTTGATTAATTTCTAATTGCATTCCTGTCAAAAACGTGTAAATGCGAATATTAAAAATGTGGTACGCTGGATTGAATAATCAGCTTTTACGAATAATTTTTCAATACCTTAAATTTTAAAGTCTGACTCGTATTAATTGCATTCCTTGCACCTTCTAAATCTTTTCCAACAACTAGATTTTTTTCTTTGGCTCTCCAAGTGCAATGCACGTAGTAAAGTATTATCTCCGTATTATCTCTGTCTCTGTATATAAAAATTTTTTTAAAGTTTTTTTTATCCTTAAATATAAGAGATTATTAATATATTTTTTAATGAATGAACTATTATATCCTTATTAAGTTGAAAAGAGAAAAATATAAATACTCTCATTAAAAGAGATTCATTTTTTATATACAATAATTAAGGATAAAATTAAAATGTTGTTGTATTTTTAATTAAATAATTAATTTTTATTAATTTGTGTAATTTAATTTAAAATATTTTATATACAAAGATGTGGGAGTAATTGTAAAGTGATTAAGAGACCCAGTGCCCGCTTGGTTTGCGTCAAGAATTGATTTTTTGGGGTTTAATCGATTTTCAAAACAAAATTTGCCGAACAGCATAATAATGAGATAATCGATTAAACATGCTAAAATCGATTTTTTTGTTAATCTATTCATACCTGCTTCTGGTTTCCATTTTACCATATTAATAATAAATAATTTGTAAATAATTCATAATTGTGTTAAATAAAATTTAAGAAATTTATTAATATTAAATACAACTTTATTAATAATTTAATTTCAAAAAGCAATGTATTTTATGATAATTTGCACAGTTGAAATCAATTTTAATATCCAAACAGTTTGCATTATAACATAATCAATTCTGATTAAAATCTACCACTTAATCAATTATTTTCGTAATCTATTATACTCAACTGAAATCCAAACGGACCCCCAGTTGTTGGAAAAGGTCTCTCTTTTCAACTGCCATTACTCATAGTATCTGAAAAAAAAAAAAAAAAAGATGTTGTCAATAAGCGTGTTTGTTTGGCTGCTTCAACTTTCATTTAATTCCATGGTAAGAATTAATGAGGATTCTGGTTGGTATAGAAATAGCCAATCCTTCTCGAAACCAATAGAAATGGAGGCATTCTCGGGAAAATCCTCCTATTATGAATATATATATATATATATATATATATATGCTCAGTGATAGTGTCAGAAACTTTCGCTGAGTTGCAACATTTTTAAAATTAATAATTAAAAAATAATTAAAAAATTTTTGAACTTAAAATTTTTAAAATTGAGTTAAGAGGTGTAAAATATTTGAATCAAGTGATACAAAATATTAAAATATATAAACTTTTTTTGTAATTTTTTCAAGCTCAAGGGATGCATTTGCCCCCCTTGCCTACAATGTAATGCCGCCCATCTGTATTTTCTCTTTTTGCTCTTATTTATAAGATAAAGAGAAAATGACTTTTTTTGTTATATTTGTAAAGCATGTAAGTGAAATCTTATTAAATTTTTAAAAATTTGTTTATTATCATTTTGATTAAACATATTAAAAATAATTTATAAATAAGATCAGAAGGAGTGTTTACTTGTGTGGTTCAACTTCTACTATAAATTACTCCCCACCAATTCCATTTATATGACATTGTTAACCAAAGTACAAGGATTAAGAAAGTTGGTTAAAATTAGTAATAAATCTTGATTTCTCCAAAAATTTCTATAAAATTCCCAAACTACTTGTAGTCAAAATAAAGATAATTTTGTCCTTAAAATATTAGCTGAGGGATGCCTAGGGTCTGTTTAGTTTCTATTATTATTTTTTATTTTAAAAAACTATTTTGTAATATCATTTTTAAAATTATTTTTCAAAACAAAATAAAATAAAAATTCACTTGGTTATGTTAATTAAAAATAGTTTTAGAATTAAAAATGGATAAATAGTGATGATTATAGGTAGTTAATAATGATAATTAATAATAACAAGTAACTATATTTTTTAATAATCAAATATAGTATATTTTAAAAATAAGAAAAATAAAACGAGAACAACTTGAAGTTATTTCTTTTTTGTTTTTACAAAC